CCTGTGGAAAGAGGGTGCTTTCCGGGCCTAGGCGGCGGGCCCGATGGAACCCACAGCCTGTCCCAAATGGGGTGTGGGTTTCCAATATCCCGCTTCTGACAACCAGATATAGTAGGTAATTACCAATACGGAGTCAGGTAGAAATATAAGGGTATTTAATAGGGAAAAGCCTTACTTACAGAATGAACCAGCCAGCCGGTGGTAGTCTGTACAGCAAGAAGCAAAGAGAGACCGAAACTGAAAACGCAGTCCCCCTACTCACTCTGACCACGCCCTCACAAGCCCTCAGGTACTCCTGTAGCCAGCCCCTAAGAAGGCGTGGCTACAGCTTCCCCTACAAGTGTTGGCCCTAGCAAGTCTTCCATGCTCCACTGGAAGGCCACACATCCAGGAATACATGAGCAGTGAAACTGAGCTTGATCAGTGGGGAAAAAGACGACATGCAGTTGTGTAAGTTGGGAAGAGGAGGTAAATATGATCATAACATACTATAACAGCCATAGATGCCCTGGCACTCACTCTGTGGCCCAGGCTGGCCTCAAATTCACAGACATTGACTTGCCTCTGCTTCCCGAGTGCTGGCATTAAAGGTGTGCACTACCATTGCCCTGCTAGGTTCTAGGTTTTGAATTGACTTGATGTTTCCTAATCTACCCTAAAATGATATGTATATTCACATATTCCATAAACCCATCACAAACCCTATAGTCTGGCTTATCTTAAACAGCAAATAACTCAACCTAGCAGGTAGGTCACATGAGCTCTGCATTCCACAATCTTAATTGTGGCTAAGAGTTTTTCCTGATTAGCATAATGAACTTCTCTATTAGAGAAAGCAAGCATTTTCACCTCCAGCAGACTGCTAAGAGGTGCACAGAAGTACTTTTAAAGGAAGTGAGATCTTTTGTCTGGGACCCATTGATTCATTTCAAGAGGGGCACAACCCACCCCAGATAAATAAACACAATTTCTTTAAGTTGCCTGGCAACCATCTTCCCTGGAATAAGAGAGGGGGCTAGCATACTTACAACTCTGGGTTTCTATTCATAGGACTAGATAGATGCACAGTAAAGGGGGATGCAAGTGTGAGACTTTGACTTCTGCTTTACCATCCTGAGGCGATAAGGCTTTGCTTGGTGGGACATATAGAGCCTCTTGGCAGGTGTGTTGTCTGCTGGTGTCAGATACTTTAAAGGACAATAAGAATTTAAAATGTGAGGTGAAATCCACTGTGAATCCTCCAATCTATAATCCACATGAAAGGAGGCCACAAAGGTCCTGATTCTACTCTGGTTTCCAGAATCCCAAGAAATAGCAGGTAATTGGGCTCAGTGGCAGTTGATTTCCCTTGCTCTTCTCAGGAATGAAATTCTACCTGGGAAACTGGAGGACTCAGAAGAGGGGAAAGCTCTATGTGAATTACTATAAAGTCATGAAAATTAAGGGTTATTTCAAGCTGGGTGGGGCAGGTTGGCATACAGAACTGCACCCCTCTACACTGCCTTGATTGTGTTCAAGGGCAAGCTTAAAGACAGAGTTGCTCCTGATAGTTGTCATTGGGAAACAGGGATGTGAGATACTTGTTCTGAGGAGCCTGCCATTACTGAATGAAAGGCTCATAGGGAAGACTTTGATAATTGTGGAAGCTATACTCCCAGTAACAGCAGGGATTCTCAAATATCTCCCTCTTTGTCTGCACTAGTAATCTGGGTTTGCTCATGAATGAGTGGTAGGGGTGACATGTTCTTTTTAAATTTGCTTCTGTGTGATATTAGGAAGCACTGTGATGTTAACATCAAAATAGCAGGATGTCACAAATCTGGTTATCATGCAGTTGTCTAACTAGAATTAATTTCCTCCACAGATTTCTCAGGATAAATATTGCCCAGGACAATACGAGCACGGTAAGTTCCCAGAAGCCTATGTAGGAAAACAGCTGAATGGGGACCTTGTTAAAGAAAAGGTACTCTCTAATATAGTGAAGGTAGGGTACTCACACATTGTCATTTTGCCTCTCCAGATTTCTGCTTTGCCAGGTCTCCTGGCTACATCCTTGCCCTGCTGCCCTTGAGCCATGCCTAGGGGCCACAAGAGTAAGGGCCGCTCTCGTGCCAAACGTCAAAATGTACGGGAGAAGAGTCAAAGTCTGCTTGATGCTCAGCTCGCTGAAAAAGAGGAAGCAGAATCTTCTATTTATCAAGGGGAGTCTCCCAGCTCCCCTGATAACTGCATTCCCCGGGATACTGAGGGGGATGTAGCCTCCGTTTCTGATGATTCAAGTGTGCTCTTGACAGGTGCTGTAGGTGGTGAGGCTTCTGATTCAAATGCTGAGTCTTCTGTTATACAAGCTGAAAGACATTTAAGCACCTCCTTGATAGCCTCCACTATTCGCTCTGCACGCAGAGATCCTCTTAACAGGAGGGCAGGTGCATTGATGCAGTTTACACTGGAGAAGTTTAGGGCAAAGGAGCCCTTTACACAGGAAGACATGTTGAAAGTCATTAACAAGAAGTACAAAGAACACCTCGCTGAGATCATTAGAAGAATCTCTGTGCGCCTGGAGCTTGTGTTTGGCCTGGAGCTAAAGGAAGTTGATCCCAATTCTCAGTCATATATGCTTGTGGGCAAATTGGGTCTCTCCACCGAGGGAAGCCTGAGTGGCAACAGTGGGTTGCCCAAGACAGGGCTCCTGATGACCCTCCTGGCTGTGATATTCATGAATGGCAACAGTGCCACTGAAGAAGATGTCTGGGAATTCTTGAAAGTAGTGGGGGTATATCCTGGGCAAAATCATCCAATCTTTGGGGAACCCAAGAAATTCATAACAAAAGATCTAGTGGAGGAAAATTACCTCATATATGGCCGGCTGCCTGACACTGATCCCCCAACCAATGTATTCTTATGGGGTCCCAGAGCGCATACTGAAACCACCAAAATGAAAGTGCTGGAAGTTTTAGCTAAGATCAATGATGATGTTCCTAGTTCTTTTCCTAGTCTGTTTGAGGAGGCTCTGATTGATGAGGCTAATAGAGCAGCAAGGAGAGTTACAACTGTGCCTGGCAATGTCAATTCCAGGCCTCATCTCAGGTGAATAGTTCACAGCTCCTCCCACATCTAGGTGGCTTTGAGAGTTTTCCAGTCTGTTGAAGAGTAGCCAGCCTTCTATGTAGTAGAATGTATTATAAGTGAGAAATAACGAAGTTTGAATCTCATTGTCCTGCTATAATGAACAACTTAGATATTTTATTCTTTGTTATATTGCAAATGTTCTTTTAACCAAAGTTAATTGTCTCACAGTCTATGCTTCTTAACATTTTGTCTGACATGTTTATTGCTATTTGTCAGGTTTAAGATGAGTTTGATGCTTTTAAATAACTTAGTATAGCATAAATAAATACTTTTTAATACATCATAAGGTAGGATGGTTTCGGAAAAGTGATTTTTATATAACTGTGGTATCAATAAAGGTATAACAAAATAAAATGCTTATATCGTAGTTTGATGTATATTTTATCCTTTGTTTAGTGTGTTAATTGCAATAAATTTGGAATTAAGTTTACTCCAAGTATATGAGAAATTTATTTGTAATAATTGAAACATTTCACTCTTTTTAATACTTTGTTTTTACATGGATATTAATTAGGCATTTTCTCTGAATAATAGTCTCAATTCAATGCTTAATAGTACTAGAGGTGGTACAAGAAAATTTATTTACCAGTCACTCAAAGCCAGATACCCTGGTAGCAAGGAGGTAAGATAGTATGTAAGCTACAAAGACCAAGACAAAAATATGAAGAATGAGGGTGGGAGTGTGTGTGCATGTGTATTATATATATATATATATATATATATATATATATATATATATGTCCCATGAATATGTGCCTATGCACACCTGAGGAATCCAGAGGAGAGCACTGAGTAGCCTGCTTTATCAAGGTCTATTACCTTGATATGGAGTTTCTTACTGAAGCTGGAGCCAAGATGATGGCCAATTTGCTTTAGGGGTCTTCCTGTCTCTGTCTTTATAGAACTGGGGGAACTGGCCCATATATGACCGTGTATAAACTTGTACATGGACGCCAAAAACCCAGATTCCTATGCATACACAGAAAGTATTCTTACCTGTTGAGCTACTTCCTAAGCCCTCTAAAATTTAATATAAATAATATTTTTTGGTTTTGTCCATTAAAATTCATTTGAATAATGTGAAGAGGAAAGTCTGAGACTGCAAAGATCCTCTGGAATGAAGACTGAGTGGCGGCACTGTATAGGGAGAGGACAATAATTTTAAGAAACTAGTTCTCCTCATTATCTCTCACATTCTCATATATCAACTAAGTATATGCTGTTTAGGAAATTCTGTGCTAGTACTGGCAATGCTCAGACAAAGATCAAACTTCATCCCATAGAATTTCAGAAGCAAGGAAATAAAATCTTATGAGAAGAATACTATGATGCCATATGGGCATTACAGAAAAATATGAATAGATAAAAGTAAGTGTAAAATTCCCAAGACAAGGCACTTTAGTAAACACCATGGTCTGTTATATGAGCCTATGAGACTGATGAACAGTATGTAGGCCTCCATATGATATATCAAAATATTGAAGAGAGGTTACTGAATGGAAAACTAATTTGTAAAGGAGGTTGTAAAATTAGACTTTAATATTATACACTACCTTGACATTTGGTGGAAACAGCAGGACCTCAAATGATATAAACATTTGTTTACTCTGTTTCAACCCACAAAAACACATGTACTGGCATTGCATAGGGTATGATGTTTCTCCTTGATTTGTATAATCTGACTTCTAGAGATCTTGCTTATTTATCATGTGTGACTAAGCGCATGTGTCCCTGAATTTCAAGTAATATAAGACTCTCCTGACTATGAGTATAACCAACATGCAAGTGATTAATTTCCATTTTATCTATATACTATCGACTGTTATGTGTTTAAATATCACATAATCCTATTATGGAAATTGCTCTCTAATACACATAGAGTAAACGGGTCATGAAAACAAATGATTAAGAAGAATGTTGGGGTCTGGGACAGTCCAGAAAGAATATGTATGCATATTAATCAGTGTGGGTATTGTGAAAGTACCACTTTGGCTTAAATAGAATAAATGTATTTATTTTTCTCCCAATTCTGTAAGCCAAAAGTCCAATATTAAGATGTCAGCAGATCCAATTTCCTGTGATGCCTCTGTCATCATCGTAAGTGGCATCTTCTTGCTGTCTATTCATAGGGCAGTCTCTATTCATGTGCACATCCTTGGTTTTTCCTTCTGTGTCCCAACACTTCAAATAAGGGCATCCCAGTACCGTTGTGTGAATGATTATCCAAATGCATCCTAATGGTTTAGCATTGATTTAAAATTCTCATCTCCAAATATGTCAAATTCTGACATGAATATTGCAGAGAAGGAATACAATAAATATTATAATTGGCCTGTGGATTATAGCATGGTTATCCTTTATTTAACAGCTAATATCCAGTTATAAGTGAATACATACCATGTTTATCTTTGTGGGTCTGGGTTGCCTTGCTCAGAAAGGCTAAGTAACAAAGAGGGCTCTGGTGACAGAGGGCTGCGGGAGACACATCTTTCTGGGAAGGGGGAATATATTTTTTAGCGGCCTGAGGGGGATACCGAATAGGTGAGATCAGGAGTGGGTGTGGGGAAAGGCGACTGGGATTGTGGACATGTAGGGCACAATGTGGAAATCTAATGCAGTGGAAAATTCCTGGATGGTTCAGAAACCTAGGGCAGAACAAAACACAACTGACACAAAAGGCAATGAAAGGATTCCTAATGATATTCTGCTATAGTCATAGATCAGTGCCTAGCCCAATTGTTACAGAGAGGCTTCCTCCACCAGCTTATGGGAGCATAAGCAGAGACCCAAGGCCAAACATTTGGCAGAACTTGGGGAATCCTGAGGAAGAGGTGGAGGAAGGATTGTAGGGACCAGATGGGTCAAGAACACCAGAAGAACACAGCCCAGAGAATCAACTAAGCAGGGCTCATAGGGTATCAGAGAGAATGAAGCAGCAACCACAGAGCCTGCATGGATCTGAGTTAGGCCCTCTGCATATATGTTGTGATTGTTTAACTTGAGGTTTTGTAGGACTCCTGTTTCAAAAGTAAATAAAAAACAAGCAAAACAAGATTCCTAAAACCCCAGTCCCTGCTACTGTTACATTAGCACTTAGTTTTCAACTCATGAGCTATGTGTGGTATCCTGCAATTTAAGATGTACATGAAGATAAGACTGGCTGAATGCAAGTTCAAAGCCCATCTAAGCTACAAAATAAGTTTACTATCAACCTGAGCAATTTCACCAGACACTGTCTTAAACTAAAAATTTTAAAGCAAAATGCTAGGGAAGTTACTCAGTGATAGTGTGTTTTCCTGATTTGCACAAGTCCCTGGACATTACACCCCTGTATCACACACACACACACTCACACACACACAAGAAAAAATATACTACCACATATGAATTTTGAAAAAATGTAAATACTGAGTTCGTTAAAAATTTTAATAGTCTCAATTGTATGATAAATAACCAACACAGTCCTCAAGGTTCAGGGCTGAGGAGATGGATCATCAGTTAAAAACACTGATTTTTTTCAGAAAATCTGGATTCAATTTTCAGCAACCACAAGATAGCTCACAACCTTCTTTAACTCCAGTTACAGGGGTTCTGATGCCTTCTTCCGACCTCTACCAGCACCACACACACAGAGGTGGTGCACACACACACATACAAGTCCTCACATATATGCATAAAATACAAAATAAATTTTAAAATATTCTCAACATTCTTAAGGTATTAAATGTTAGAACAAGGACAGACTGTTGATCTGAATCCATCTAGGGGCTGTGCTATTCCACTCTTCCCACAGTAAAGCTGACCTTTTGGGGTTTTAAGCATTATTTTTACACGACCTATTTTGAACTTAATATCTTTTTATTGACATTCCTGTTTTTTCTTAATTTTTCCCTTAGTTGTAGAAGTTCGTGCAGAGAATCTCAAGGTGATGGGATAGATTTTGTATGTGGTGGTTCTGTAGTTACATACAAAAATGCAATGCAAAATATAACTATTTCCTCAGCCTAGTATTCTTAAGATAGAGACATTTTTGAAAATCCAAATAGAAAAATATACTTCCCATTGGCCTTTTCCATGCAATCATATTGAAATATTTTTTTCATACAGTATATTCTGGTCATGCCTACCTTTCTTCCAACTCCTACCCGATATTCACCATCTAGTCACCCCCTCAACTCTCTCTCTCTCTCTCTCTCTCTCTCTCTCTCTCTCTTTCTCTCTTTCTCACAAACCAAGAAAACAAACAAATGTGAATTTTTTAAAAAAGCAAACACACACGCCCATAATAATACAAAACTCTAACCAGATGATTTATTATTTGTTTGTTTGTTTGTTTGTTTGTTTTCAAGAGAGGTTTTCTCTGTATTGCTTTGGAACCTGTCCTGGAACTTGCTCTTGTAGAACAGAGATCCACCTGCCTCTACCTCCCGAGTGCTGTGATTAAAACTGTGCGCCACCACTGCCCGGTTATGGATGATTTAAAAACAGGTTTTGTGCTCAAAATACAGGATTGGATCCATTGCCAGAGTAGAACATAAATGAGGGATTTTACTAATAAAAGGGGAAATTGGTAAGAACATGAATATATATATATATATATACGTGGCTTATTGCCTTTCCTGTACTAATCCAATACCTTGAAGGTGGAGTTGTACAGGCAGTCAATTAAAAGCTCCACGAGTATTAAATGCACAATCGTCTGAGACTGAGAAACTGCACACCCATGCCACAAGGGGCGCCAGAGAGGCGGGGCTTCCTGTCAGCCTCTCTTCGGGGGTCCTTTCCTTAGAGACAGCAGTGTTCTTGGCAGTGGCAGTTCGACGACTGTGAGGCTCTGAGGAGTGCTGTCCAAAGCCACTGACTGAAGAAAACCAGGAAATAAACGCCAGTCTCTGTCATTCAAGGTGAGAAGTTTCAGTGAGGTTGAGAAACAGTCTTCTCAGAGTCAAATTTCCCCTGATCTTGAACCCGTGCCCTTTGCTGTCAGTTTTAGACTTCATTTTCCTACCAACCTTCCGCGTGTTCTCGTAAAGTCCCACCTTGAAGCCGAGAATCATCATACCTCAGTCTGGGCTACAGGCCCCTTGTTGCCAGACTTGGTCCACTTTAGAATAAAGCACTCCACCTCTATTTGCACAGTTTACCTCCCTCTCGCTTCCATCTCTTCCCTGTCCAGCTACAGCGCTACAGTAACAGCACCCCCCTCCCCCGGCGCGCGCATGTGGAACTTCCCGGCTTTTCTCTCAGTTGTGCGCCATTTCAAAAGACAGTCTACACTCAAAAGCAAACAGCCTATGTACTGGAAGCCCTAGTTTTTTGTTTGTTTTTGTTGTTGTTGTTGTTGTTGTTGTTTTTTGTTTTTGTTTTTGTTTTTCGAGACAGGGTTTCTCTGTGTAGCTTTGGAGCCTATCCTGGCACTCGCTCTGGAGACCAGGCTGGCCTCGAACTCATAGAGAT